GCATGAAAAACGAGCCCTAGTGTTTTATCACCCTTTTTGTTTTCCAGATACACCTACATTATATGCAACAATTGAAACCTGTTCAAACATGGTGATAACATGGCTCCTGTGACAGAATATCACTGACTGACTACCAAGGACATAAACTCCCTATCTCATATCATCGGCAGGTCAAAATTGGCTGATGGTATGAGACAGATATGTCATTTTTTGGAGGAATTTTTAAGAATTCCAATGGTTTGAATGGGAGCAATGTATTGTATTTCTTTATTGTGGTTTTTGAGTTAATAAAAGAAGAAGAAACTTTTGCAATGCACTGTAATTAGCAGATACATTGACCACTGGTAAGTAAATTGTCAGTGGCGGCTTTGTGATTTATTACACCTTCTTACAGTTACTTGGAATTGGACGTTGTATTGTATGTATGACACAGATGAGTGAAGTTGCAGTTGAACAAGTCCACAAACCAGTATTAACAATTAAAAACCTTTAAAATAAAGACACAAGACAAAAGTTTGAAAATATCCACTTGTTTTAATGGGAGTCACCAGGAGCCAGCCCCCCGCTGCAATGGACTTCACCAACAATGGAACAGAGTCAACTCAGAAAAATACTATCCACAGGTTTACTTCAAATATGAAAATGAGTTTTGCATAAATAAATAAAATAAGCCAAATTTCAAATGCCCAGTTGTAGTTGAAGTGATGGTAAAAATGGGGGATGTGCTTCTTGCTGCGAGTGCATCGTCATAAGGCACAGGCTTAGATTCCGCCTTAAGAAAATAACTCAAACAAAATGTGCTTTAGCTATATATATATTTAACATTTTGTTTGTATTTGTTTCTATTCCCATTGTGTTGTGTGTGGATCTTAGTTGGTTGACAATTCAAATCTAGTGGAACAAAAATCAATGACATTTCACAAGAAAAAAAAACACTCAAAAATGTAACTTCTTATAAAGCGTTTAAAATCTTCAAACCAAACAAGCAGTGGTTAGGTTTTTCACGACACTGAAATAAAGCTTTATTCAGAACCAGTGTGTTTCAATCAAGGCGAGACGCTGTTTAGAGATATCAGTCAATGTGTAACTTACCTTGAAGTTACACATCGATTGTTTGCAGGTTTAAATATTTCGTTCCCAAATAGTTTGTGGGATCTTCTATAAACAGTGAAATGTTATACATGGGGGAAAACACATCTTGAGAGTTCTGCCTCAACTATATCCTCTTAAAACAACTAAATGGGGAAAGAAAATCATGCCACATGGACATGTAGAGAGGCTGAGATGCATCCCCAGGCTGCAGTGATGGACAAATGAACAATATCTCAAATCAAGCCTTGTCTAGATCACATTTTGACATTTGTTAACAATTTGTTCTAAGTGAGATGCATTATTACTATCATCATCATCATCGTTATTATTATTATTATTATTATTTCAACTCCTAAAAGAACCAGATGAAGCATTTCAAATTGAAGGCATTTTGAAGGACCATAGACTGTATTTTCTTATGAGTTTTCTTATGATAAAAGTTTTGCTCCAACTCGCTCTGGCTCCTATTGGCATACATTGAAAAGTAAACTCCTGTAGCTTAGTAACCGTTTGTGTCACACAAAAATCCATGGTTTAGCTATGATCCTGGAGGTTTATTTTGATATTGACTTTCTAAATACAGATATGAGTCAGATAAGGCTTAACCATTCAGCTTGCCTTAGCAACCATCTTAGCAACATGTCTGTGCCTGCTATGGCATGAAGCTAAACCAGTCAACAACAACAAATGCCCATAAAAGGACATGAGCACCAGCTGGCTTATGTTCTATGGTAAGGACCCATGAACTACCATAGTGACTGGACATAAATAATTTGGACATTGCTGTTGTATTATTTGGTGGCACACTAGATTATGTCTGGCCTCGTGAGTGGATCATTCTTCCCAAAATATGTCCAATATAATTATGAAAATTAAGATAACCTTCCACTTTTCATACTGGGACAGGAGAGTCGAGCTTCAGGCACATTTTCATGGAACCACAAATCAAAAACTTTCTTTTGTATGTAATTGGATATGTGGCACATAACTGAGCTAAAATTTGAGTTTTCAAGTTTTTTTCTGCAGAATTCTAATTTCCTTCATGATCGAATGAAGTAAAACAGTTTAAAATGGCTTAATGATAGAAGGAGGTCCATCGAGTTCTCGTCTCATCATGTGCGTATCATTATACATAATATTTTACCTTTAAACCAAAAGTTAAAAAGTTGTAAAGTTATGAATGTGTCACAAAAAATGTCATCTCGGTAATGCAGTCATACTTTGAAGCTTATGGACAGCCAGCTCATGCCATCCCAACCATTTTACTGATGCAAACAAGTTTAACCTCATCATACACTTGCTTAGTTTTTACATTTCTTTCACTCACATTTTCAACAAATGAGTCCAAACGCGTCAAAAACATCAAAGAAATTACCAATACACACAAGCCAATGAAAAGCAAAAGCACAAGTGATTGAACTGTGTTTTGAGATTTAAAAAAAGAAAAAAAGGTCAATTGTAGTACTGAAGATATCATTATGAAGTAAATGTGATTGATTTTTGGCAAAAATGTGTGTTCATTATTCCAAAATAAATTTTAAACAAATAGTAAATACAGTCAAAGAAGTTCAAAATAAAATCTATTTTTCCTTACAATATTTTCAACATTTAAAGATTTAAGCGCAGTGAGCTTTTCAAAGTGGGAAAAATGTGTCGAGATGTTGGATTTGTACCATTATTGGAAATCTACACCTGACAGCTGAAAAAAACCTTCTCACTCTCTGATAATAAAAATGCCATATCCCTAAATCTGAGAAAAAAATCCCTTTCAATAACGTTCAGATACATTGCAAAAGAATCCACATTTTGCATAATCCAAATGTATTAACAACCACACGTCAATAAATAAAAGCTTTATCATTTCACACACACACACAACCTCTTGTTATAAAATTACCTTTAAAAGCAAAATATAAATTGAACAGAAGTCGGCTGGGAGTGCGTGTTGAGGGGGTCGTCTAGCTCTGGAGATTCTCCGTAAAGAAGTCATTTAGGCTGAAATCTGCTCCACGTTTTGTTTGTTGAACTGTGGATCTGTAAAAGTGTCCAACATTAGAAACGTACAAAGTCCTTTTGTGTCCTGCAGTGATGGTGCGTCCACAGCAAACCCAACCAGTCCATTCTCATTTGAGGCGTTCTATCATAACATTCCAAAGGTCACACTTACAGGTGAAACTCGGAAAACGAATTAGAGTATGGTTAAAAAGTCTATTTATTCCTGTTATTCAACTTAAAATGTTAAACCAATGTATGAGATAGACCAGATCTGGACAAGTGCCCAATTCATGTTTCTATGCGGCTCTCGGACCTTTACCATCTCCCCCCATTTTAATGAATGGGAATCATAACCAATGATAATTTAATACACATTGTGCTTTTGTCTGCTATATAGATTTGTTAGCATGTTATTTTGTTCAGAAAAAAGTACGTGTACAGGTTTTGAAATAAACATCTTGACTGATAGTGACACGTATGCGTCATTGTTATAAATTATGATGGTTGTTAAATACATTTTTAAAAAATGTATAAAACTACCTAATAAAATAAAAGTATGCGTTGATTTGAGGACTTTCCCCTTCTCTGTATGCTACAGCACCGTATACAGTCAGTAATTTGTCTTGATGATGGGAAAAGCACAACTTTAATTTTAAGAGAGAAGAGAACTTGTCAGGGAATGCCCACACTGCTGTGTGCTATTGCACAACAGCCCGGAAACTCTGACTGAAATGTTTGTCTGGCTTTGGGGACGGCAAGATGATGATGACGAACTATCCGACAGATGGGAGCTTGTCGTTTGTTTAGAGAGCCAAGAGATGGCAGCAAAAGTGAAGTTCCCCTCATGTTTCACTTGCACAAATGGCAGTAATTGTTCACCACCATTTTATTAACACCACTCGTTTTTGCGTCTTCCCTTCTCTTCGTATTTGTGTCACTACATAAGTTATTGGGTGGAATTGATTCCATTGGCACAAGTGCAGACACACAGGACAGACATTTGTAGCCCCAATAAATGGCTGTGGTCAAACATAAACTAGACCTCTCCTACAATTAAATTTACAAATTATTCCCTTTATTTTGTCCCATTGGCAAATCAGCTGACTGTGGCACAGTCTTCTTCCGCTGAATCAAAGTCTGATCCGTGTATTTTACAGTAGTATCTTTTGTACTTTTTAATCTAGTACTTTTGTGTATTTATTATTGTACTTCAATGATTCAATGATTTAGTGACTTGTATCTGATCAGTTTTTGCAGTGTCGTAGTGGTTTTGAGGAACACTATTTTTTCAACACTATTGCCAAATTAATTTTGTAACTCAGCCAGAGAAAAGTATCTGAAATTATAAGCGTTGTCAAAGCAATGGGCTCTTGAATGAAGCTGAAATAGAACATGCATGGGTGTGTGCACACTTATCAAAGGTAAATGTTCTTAAATGGCCTTTTTGCATCACATATCAGACAATGCACAATGTCTTTGCTAATAGAAACAACATAGCACACATTTATTTGGCTCAACACTGAAAAATCCAAACAGAAAATTCTATAAATGCATAAAATAGTTTGTTCTTCTATATGTGTCAATGATGGTTAGATCCTGCATAACCTTAAAGCCATTTTAATAATTTCTCAGTATCTTACAACCATAGCCCTATGAAACTCATACCACCAATCCAACTTTAGTCGCAGTTTGCAGTACACGCACCATCCCTCCTCACAGTTTCTACTCTCCAAGGCTTTACGAGTACAAAATGTGAGTTCCATTTAAATATTGGCACAAAATATCCTCCGTTGGCAGCTTCAGTGAAAAAACGTGTTTCCGGGTTGAAGTTTGCGGTGGCGTTGTCTCTAGAGCTTGTTTGGGGAGGGAGTCTTGCAGATTTTTGCCTGTCTGAGTTTGTGAGTTTTAGGGTCCTAGAGACAGACGCTGTAGCTGATCTGGCAGGTGGAGCCCACGCCGGCCTGGGACAAGAACAGGCGTCCATTGGGGCACACGCACACCTCATACACCGTTTGTCTGGTCCCTGAGGAGGAGCTGCTCGAGGCCTTTCCCTCTGGCAGGCGCATCAGGCGGATCCGGTGAGCGTCCAGAGAAATCTACAACACAAGAAAGAGGCAAAAACACAATAGAAGATCAGGAGTTATGATGAGTTAATGGTGAGTCAATGCTGTGTACAAGTGTTCCCCAGTTTTTAGTTTTGGAAGTGAAATTACTCCGCATATGTAACTTTTTGGTCTTCATAAATTTCTGTTTCTTTTGTAGTTTATCTTTATAACATTTTTTTCATGACATTCTTATCTTGTTAGGAGTTCATTCTCAGTTTCTTGGTAAACAACATTCTATGGTGGTCCTGGACTAGTTTTTCGCTGAGTGAGTTTGGTTTACCAAGAAGTGACCATAGTTACCGGTTGAGTATTTGCTGTATTTCAGTTATTTTCAGATTTAGCTCTCATCAAAAGTGAGAAATGGTGAAGACAAACTTCACCTGCAATACTCCTTTCTTTAATTATAAACAACAGATAAATGTCACATTTTTAGATTTGTGGTCAGAAATTTGGTTTTCCTCTAATACATCTACCAAATGATGCATTTTTCTGCTATTTTTGCTGTTGACATTTGGATCACTGAAACAGATATGTCCTCCACCTTTTTTACCCCAGAATTGTTCACATAAATTCCAGATAGATGTCAATTCAGCACACAAGACTTCATTTATAATAGATAAAATAACACTGCTTACTACTAATATAGTAAAAGTATTCAGCAGTACAAAAGTGATGAATACTACTACTACTACTACTACTACAACAATACTGTTTGTGTCACAGGCTCAGGGAAGACATGTGAGCACACAGGGAGTTTAAATTGTCCACATCTCAGATTTAGCTCAATAAAAGATAATTTCACCTCCCACATCAGAGCAATCTAATAGAGAGCCAAAGTACCTCCACCCCCACCTGCTCCTTCCCCCAGATCCCAACCCAGAGCACTCTATGCGGGCTGTGTCTGCGTATTGCCCCGATGGATGAAGGCAGACGGAGGACCAACCCATTAGAGGTGAGAAAATAAAAGCTATCAGAATCCATTACGGGACACCCGGAGAGGCAACAGCGCAAATGACCCAGAACTGGTTTAAAACGGGTCTTGGATGATTTCCTCTATCAAAGCTGAAAAAACCCAGCGGACGCCGAGGCTTTGAATGAGGCGAGGTGGAGCGTGAAGCTATGAGGTGAACAATAAAACAGCAGAGGACAGACAGACACAAAAAGCTGCCAAACTGTGACTGAATGTGGCACAGGATAACAGGCGGTGGAGCTCCACAGGGGACGGTACTGGGACCTGCTATTTTCTGTCATAATTAAAGTTTGTAACTTTTATACAGTAGGTTGATTTTGAAGTGCAAATTTAGCCAATAATTGTACTTTGTTTGGTCAGAAAGTCAACACTATTTTATGTTTGAAAAGTTAGAAAGTGTGCGGGGGGATTGAGTATAAACAAAACACTTTAATCATTGGCGTAGCAGTGCAATTTATAGCATTTTGCATGTTATCAATGTTTTCTTTGCTGTAGGATTCTCCAGCCACTCTGCTTTGTTATGCCGTGGGCTCTTTGAAGCTTTAACAGAAGTTCAATGCCTAATGCATTAGTGACATGTGGGTGCGTCCAAACACCTTTAACAAGAGCAGTAAATCCAGAGAAACATTTGCACATCATCTACCCTGATAAACACAACGGCAATCACACTGTTATAATTACAGCCCGACTGATGCCTCTGCAAGCGAACGATCATCAAACAATTAACTCATGGCTCAAGTAGACTGGTAAGTGCACTGTGATTAAAGGTTGTTAAAAAAAAATCTATGTTTTCATCTTTGATACAACAGTCAGTTGTAGTCTTTTTTGTTGTGCTTTATCGTTTCCTTGCAATCAAATTGAATTAATTACAACTGCATGCTGAGATAAACATGGTAGAGCATGTTTCAAATGGCTTTCATTCCAAGTCAGGGAGGACATGTATATTTTCTTTGAAGTAGAAAGAATATCTATGTGTAACTGTTTTTAAAATCTGTAATTGTATGTAACCGTGTAACTTTTGTCCAGGAATCCCTTGAAAAAGCGGTTCTTAATTTCAATGGGACTTTCCTGGTTAAATAAAGGTTAAATGATAATAATGAAAAAGTAAAACTCTAAAAATACATCATATGCTCAATTTGGACACTATTCCCACTTCATGTTTCTAGATGAATAATAATGCAAATAGTGAAGATGTTAATATTTCTGCTAAGGATATTGAAATATACTCAATAGCAGTCAGAGGGATCAGTAATTTGCTTGACGACTATCAGCAATTTAATTTCCCAATAAAGTACCATCGCACCATCACAGACAGGCTGATCTTTTTTATAGTGAGACTTTGTGGAAACTTTTAAAGACTTTTGAGGCTAATCCTCTTTGGGTTGATGTGAACTGATCTGACATCAGTCCTACAGTCAAAATCCTTTTATCAGCCAAGAATAACAAAGTGAATTTGGAAGTGACGTGTGACCAATCAGAGATGGAGGAGTTAAAGGGTGAACCGAGGAAACACACTGACAGACTGAGCACAAGAAGAAGTGTAATTTAAAACATTGGAAAATGTATCTCTTTTATAATACATTTATAGTATTTCATTAATTATATACGATTAAAGTAAGAAAATGTCACTCTCAGCATGTAATGAATGAAGTTCCATCTTTGCATTTTAAATCGGATTTACAGTACTCTTTTCAATGCCCGCACAGCTGGCTTACAGTGATTGTAAAAGAGCAGAATTACACGTTAACAGTTCCATTATCGCTTCTCAGAAAAGCTCTATAATTTTTGGTAGAATGCATTCAGATTTTCTTGCAAATTACTAGTTTTCACTACAAGAATAGACTTAGAACAGGCTTTTCAAATAGCTACTGACTCCCTATGGACAACCAATCACTTCTCAGCAAAATCATCATAAATAAAAGTTTCCAATTCATATATATCTTTTTTAAATGAGTTGTTATTTATTAATGTATCAAAACACACTCAGAGCACATGAACGCACATAGCACACATGGAGTTCTGCAATCACAAGTTTTACCTTTAGCAGTTTGTTGGAAATGTCTCCACATGATGCATGAGCCAGTGTTCTTTATAATTTATTATCAAGATATTATAATATTTAAAAGGAAACTTTTGTCCATTTGATAAATGGAGCCATCAGACTTTATTCAGAGATAAACGCACAGAAGAGTTTGAGGATAATGAAATCCGCAGATTCAGTTACAGGTCAGAAGTAACTGAATCTGAATATAAATACCGCATTATCAGTCACTTGCCAGGCAGTAGGTTGTGATCTATGAGAAAAGTTAATTTGAAAATGAGTAATTTCATCCAAAATGCTAAATTCTGCGTGTATGAGTATGTTTTGAGGCAGAGTGAGTGAGTTTTTTTAAAATAATAATGTTTTATAAAGAGACCCTTAATGTACTTGCTGCACAGATGCATTCAAAGATCATGGTTTCAATGCAGTGTATTATATATTTAAAAATTTACATTTTTGAACAGGCAAAGCATTAAAGGTGCATTATGCAACTTTTTATGTGTTTTGTTTTATTTATTTTGAACTAAATTGAATGTATTCATTTGATCAGGGACGCAGCACAATAAACATGAGTCTTATAAAGGGATATGTCATGTGTTTCCACCATAGTCCCTGGTCATAGTCATTAAACGTATATATATTTTCGCGGATTTTGACCTTGCAGTAACCCACTGGCTGTAAGAGTGGGAATCATGGTGTCTTTCACGGTTGTGTCTAGTACTCCAGGATAAATACTTTTGTTGGTTTTCTGGTGCAAGAAATCCTTCTATAAATGTCGCCACATGATACATTCAATTGGTCCCATAGCATTAAAGACCACTGTCATGGAAAGTCAAGGCGCCGTGCTGATCATTCATACAACTGCTCGGTAAAAATGGCAAAAACACACTTTTTTTCACAATAAAAGTACAATAGTAACTTTCAACTCAAATGATATCTATTTTAAACCCATGTTTGTGTTTGTCACCATGGGAGACCATTTGATCAGGCGACAAGCAGCAGAGACCACATCAAAGGCAAGACTTAAAATATCAAAGAAGGGGGACAGACAATGGAGCGAAACCGGTCTTCTTCAAAACCGTTCCAGGATATGAGGAGCTGCCAAAAACAAAATGTCTGCTCGCGTTGGCCCAGGAGAGAGGTATTGTTTGGATTGAGTTCCGCTAAAAAATCCGTTTGGACAACAGAAATATGGGCGAGAGCAGCCGGCGTGGCTTTGGGACAAGAAAAGTTAATTTACAAAGTTTTCTACTGAGCACAAAGGGAGATGTTATCAGGTTTTGTGGACAGACAGTAATGGAAAAACGGTTCGGGTGTAGAAAAGGAGGTTGACCTTTACGTGAGCGGTAAATACAAAAGATTACAATTTTAAAGGACTGTATGTAATTTTCATGATAATATTGGAGTGAGGTTTGTGTGTTTGATGCATTTTTATTGTTGACCGATTGTAACCAGGGAATAGAGGGAATTCTGTTTGTGAATTTGAGATATAGATGAACAAAAAGGTCATAGATTATAAAGCTTACACAGGTGGGTAATCACACAACGATGATAACATTTATTGCAAATGCTTGGGGATTATTACATTGATTTGCAAGTTTTTATCAAGAGAGAAATGAATTTATAAGAGTTTCAATCATCCATGTATTTTAAGGACTGTGCTTTGCTTTATACTAACTAATGTCTTGCTGTTGCATTTTTGAGAAATAATTACTTTCATGCATTAGAAATTAAATGAAAAGTGATAATAATTGATGAATAAATGAAAGCGCATCCTTTTCTGCATACATAATACATGTTGTTTATTCCAACATAAATAGTCTTCTGAAAGTTATACTTGGTAAAGAAATCAGACCACAGCATACTGTCTAACACATTTTAACTTTTGTATTCTTGTAAGAAAGAACCCTCCAAGTTATTTATGGACATTTTATTGGAGGATAATTTGATGCTTTGAGCTAAGAACGGATCGGATGACATCTCGATTTAGAATTTCTGTTTAACAAAGCTGATCTAAATATGTGACATTTACATGTGAAAACTAGTGATAGAACCAAACTAGTTAGATGGATTTGTTTACATAGTTTCATTATTTTATGTAAATATTAAAAGAAGGGATTTGGCAGTAATAAATATGTTACCAAATTATGTTCTATATGTTGCTGGCTTTTTCACTTGACTGTTCAGAATACAAACACGCTGTCGAGATTGATCGCAGAGGGATTGGTCTGGCTGAGAAGAAATGCTTCCTGTTGATGTTGCTGGAGGATCCATACCTCTCCGTCTTTAGACTCCAGGCGCAGCTCGTTCCTGCAGATGGCCTGGATGTCTCCTGCTTCAGCCAGGATCTGAATGCCCTTAGGAGCTTCCATCAGCAGAGAGCGGGTGGGAGATTCTAGCCTGCAACACATACACAAGTTCAGAAATACTCATACATAATTACACACACACTTAACACACACACCGAGGCATCCCAAACAGATGCCCAAGCCATCTTAACAGGATCCTTTCAAAGAGGAGAGGCAGCAGCTCTCCTCTATTTGTCACCCCATTTTCCAAAAAAAAGGCATTACATTTGTTTCACATAAAAAGAAAAAAAAAGGAACAATGAAAAATGTCTGCATTAACAATTCAGCACCCTGGACAGCGCCCCCATGATTTGCCCATAAGAGAAGCAATTTTTTCATGTAGAAAAGTAAAAGTGCCCCAGTACAGACTTGATGTCAAAGAAGCTAGAGTATGTTATGAATTTAAAGCAGTTTTATTTGTGAGAGCATGCATTATGAAATTCCCACACAGTTGCAATACGCACAATTTAACTTCAGAAATACTGATATATACAATACAAGTTTATCATCGGGCTAAAAGGGAGACAAATACTAATATGAGGTAAGATTAAATGGTCAGCGTTCTGTGAGGGGGCAGTTTAAATCCTGACATATTTGAACACAAAGCCACACATTTTTTTCCTATGAGGGAAGAAAGTATGCAATCTTTGTATATATATTTTCTATTAGCTTAAACAAATCCAAAATGGACATGCTCTGAACTACAGTGGTTATAATGTCAAGACACATCATATTACAACAAAAACAAAGTAGATTAGGGTCAATTCAGATTTACATTTTGATATAACATTCATTAATGTGAAAATAACTGACTTTCAATTGGGATTGAAAAAATAAAGTAGTCCCCCCTCGGCCTCTGAAGCAGGCTGTATATTTACAGTAAAATGATGTGTTTTGGTTTTGTGGCAACCTTCTGGTTTGAACATCCCACTGAGAGACTACAGTTGTTCAATTTCCACTCTGTAATGCCCTTCTTCAAAATGTAACGAAACATCTTCATATCCCCATCATTAATCACCCACAACAACTCACGGCGGCTGCTGTTTCCTAGATATTTCTCAACCACACTAGACTGAGGAAGGATTGCACCAAACACCAAATATCATTATATCTTATACAGAGTCTCATGTTTTTTTTTTCTTTTCAAAAGAGGACTGAGTGTTTCCTGGAGGTGAGTGAGGACAGCTCTCCAAGTGGTGAAGTTTTTTTTTTTTTTTGGAGCATTGCCCTGTAAATATACAAATATACAAACTGTGCTCAAATAAATAAATACATAAAAGATATGGAGGAACTGCAGCATAAAATAGTGTTAGGTGGGCATTGTAAACTGCTGGAACATGGGCACATACTTTTGTCGTTTGATGCCCTGGCATGAACTGAAACTGTTTTTAAAAGGAAAATAACAAAAGAACCGATTTAAAGAAAAAAACAAAACATAATAGTGAGTGCCTGTAATCCTACAACGAACATGGGTCAAAGTTGTATGCACTGATAGCGAACGCATGAACAGAATCCACTCGCAGCACACAGACATACAGACCTGTATCACGGAGCAACAATAGGAAGTTTAGAGGCAGATGCTGAAACAGAGAGTAGTGCTGCTGAGTACAGGACAGACTGAAGACAAACGGCGAGGCTCAAAACATGAGAGACCACAGAGCGACTACCCTATCCTCGTGCCCCGCAGACCGCGTGCTCTTGAAAATGTTGGACAGACTAAACGGAGAAAAGCAAATCAACGTTTCTTGCTTTAATCCTAACACATCACGTTACACATGGAGCTCAGTAAATGAGCCAGGTACTTTAAAATGTTGATTTAAAGCAGCATTGTGCACAACTTTGCGACATCAAAATTTTTTCCAGCATCATATCGGCTCATTAGGCAAATACCTTCCAAAAAGTGCTCCTTTTTATAAATATCATTCTCTTTCATCTGCAAAAACTTAACGCTGGCTACAAAATCATCATACATCAGTTTTCTCCAATGTTTTGAAGCACGACTCATTTAGCTCATACACAAAAAACCCTTGGTAAAAAAACAAAACTAAAAAACAAAACTACTGCAAATACTACCAATTTCTTCTTGCAGTCAAATGCACAATTTTGGTGCCCGTTCCACCTCAATTACAATTGTCTTTTTAATTATTCATGAGTTTTCTTGACGTGACAGGTCTAATAACACCAAGAGTCACTTGCTTGACGATAGCGGAGGACGAACATGTGAAGCCAACTATCTGACAGCTGCATCAGCCGCTGGCAAGGATAACTAATCCCCTGGACTGGGATTTGAACCTAGATCTGCAGCTCTATGCCTGGGTCTGTGTGGCTTCTCTGACACGTGGTACATTCGGTGTCATTCCAAAAGGCCACCTGTCTCTAGAATAAACACAGCAGATGTATGTAGGAGCGTCACATCCTCTTTGTTGATAAAGTTCATGTAAATCTGAACCCAATTTCTTTGCCGCACTCTGGGATGTGTTTCTATTTGCGTTGGTATCTTTGTAAATGACAGGGCATCAAACAAAGGTATATTTACTTCAAAAACAGAAGAATCTGCGACTAAATGAAACCGTGACAAACTATTTTCCAAAGATGTCTCCAACAATGATTTACTTAAAAGGTTCTAACTTGTGCATTTGCCTCTTATACTGTTAAAAGTGACCAATTATGCAAAATGTACTTTCAAGAGCTTTTTACCATGTTATAATTGTTCCATTTGAATTGTTATTGTAGAGATTGCTCATTTTTAATCTCCTGAATCCAAGAAACCATGACTACAATCCTCTATATTTTGCACCACAGCCGGCACACCATGGGGAGAGAGCACACCATGGAGAGAGAGTACGCCAGGGGAGAGAGGACACATAATGAGGAGAGAGCACACAATGAGGAGAGACCACATCAGGGGAGCGAGCACACCATGGGAGAGAAAGCACTCCAGGGGAGAGACCACACAAGGGGAGAGATCACATCAGGGGAGAGAGTACACCATGGGAGAAACCACACCAGGGGAGAGAGAACACCAGGGGAGAGACCACATCAGAGGAGAGAGTAAATCAGGGACACCATGGGAGAGACCACACCAGGGGAGAGAGAACACCAGGGGAGAGACCACACCAGGGGAGAGAGAACACCAGGGGAGAGACCACACCAGGGGAGAGACCACATCAGAGGAGAGAGTACATCAGGGGACACCATGGGAGAGACCACACCAGGGGAGAGAGAGCACATCAGAGGAGAGACCACACCAGGGGAGAGAGAACACCAGGGGAGAGACCACACCAGGGGAGAGAGAAAACCAGGGGAGAGACCACATCAGAGGAGAGAGTAAATCAGGGACACCATGGGAGAGACCACACCAGGGGAGAGAGAACACCAGGGGAGAGACCACACCAGGGGAGAGAGAACACCAGGGGAGAGACCACACCAGGGGAGAGACCACATCAGAGGAGAGAGTACATCAGGGGACACCATGGGAGAGACCACACCAGGGGAGAGAGAGCACATCAGAGGAGAGACCACACCAGGGGAGAGAGAACACCAGGGGAGAGACCACACCAGGGGAGAGAGAAAACCAGGGGAGAGACCACATCAGAGGAGAGAGTACATCAGGGGACACCATGGGAGAGACCACACCAGGGGAGAGAGAGCACATCAGAGGAGAGACCACACCAAGGGAGAGAGAACACCAGGGGAGAGACCACATCAGGGGAGAGAGTACATCAGGGGAGCGAACACACCATGGGAGAGAGAGCACACCAGGGGAGAGACCACACTAGGGGAGAGATCACACCATGAGGGGAGACCACATCAGAGGAGAGACCACACCAGGGAGAGAGAGCACACCAGAGGAGAGACCACACTAGGGGAGAGATCACACCATGAGGGGAGACCACATCAGAGGAGAGACCACACCAGGGAGAGAGAGCACACCAGAGGAGAGACCACACCATGGGAGAGAGAACACATCAGAGGAGAGACCACACCAAGGGAGAGACCACAGAGAATAGCTACTGTATAGTTCAGTAGCTAATGGTAATCTAAATAAAAACAAAGAGACACCAGGGGGAGAGATCGTGTCTGTTGTGTACATTCTGGTCCATTGTAGTGGTCCTGGACTTTAAAGACTGAGGGTCTGGGGATCGGTCTGTGTGGGTCTCCACCTGGTCCTGCTGCGGAGGCGAGAGAGTGGAGAGATGCCTGTCTGGCCCGGTCACAACCAGGATGAAAAAAAACCTGAGCAGCTTTATGTTCTTTTAACCAATATTTCTACCCTTTTATATAGTTTTTTTACTATATTTTTACGTGCTCTCACTTTTTATTTTAGCTTATACGTTCTTATCAGGCCACAGTCATTACATTTCTTGTGTGACCCAGACATAGGCCCAAAATTAGTATAGCAATTGTTAACTTACAGTATCTTGTTCTATGTGCTCCCTATTCCTACTGTTCTATAACTTGTAATGCAACACCAAAATTTTCCCACTGTGGTACAAATAAATCTCTTAATCTTAATCTTAAAATGCTCCTTTCGACAACACTGCAACTAAACATTGCTAATAGTTCCAGTGCAGTAGTCAGTGTTTGAAATAATTGCGATTGCAGCAACGGGCCAGGATGTGTTTGTTGTTTGTATATGCGAGTCTTTTCATTATAACCGTGGTCGTCTTGGATCCGGTCTTCCTCCAGACAAACAGAACATAAAAGTAGATTTCTGCAGTAAATATTTACAGAGCTCAGACATGAAGGACAAAACTGCTGCATCCGTCTGCTGCTCGGAATCTATAACCTTCTGTGAGAATCATAAAACTGATGAGAGCAACATGACGCTCTGACAAGAAAAAGTTACTTCTGCATCAGACAGAAATAGTGCAACATCTTGGGTGAAAACAAACAATATTCTTCAGGTAAATATTTCATGTTCATAAATAAAAACACTTTACCCATGTTAAAAATAATGCTTTAAACGTATGATGAAGCAGAATAAATGATGAATAAACAAGTTCATCTACAATAGTCTGCATTTTTAATGTCACAAAACTCATATATTGAGGACAAAAACTATATGTTTTTTGATGATTTCATAAACCACTGAAAGCCCATAACAAAAGGGGAGGCCACAATGAAGTCAATAACCCTGTACCAAATTTCTGCAGACTTTATTTTATATGTAAGTAAGTCAGGCTAATGATCTAGGACCTAAGCTAGCTACAGAACGTGGACCAGTGGCCGCTGAACGTGGACAGGTCCGGTGCAGGACTGAAGCACTCCCAGGCGGGTCGGGCGGGGCAGTCCGCAGGTGTAGATGGAGGAGCCCAGGCTCATACCAGCTATACTAGGCCTATCTGTATATACTGTACCTTAGAAAGATTTAAAAGTGATGTCTTCAAATATTCATTTTGAGAATACATTTTTCTGACCATAATGCTGTGGTATCATCTATATTAAGTGTTTTTAATAATACAACCTCCCCTTGGAATAAGCATCACCAGATTTGCTGGAGGAAAAGATTTAGACCAACAGAGGGGCCTCAGCTGTCTATCAAGGATATGAATGAATTGTGTCCAATCAGGAGGTTTGAAAAACGTCTTCCATCTTCACAAATTAAAAAGTAACCTTCACTTTAAGTAGACTGGGTTTTTGTTGGAAAACTTTAGCCTGGACCCAGAAGTACAGTGTTTTATTCCGTAACTTCAAAATGTACAAAAGGTTTTCAGGGTTGGATAAAAAAGAATACAGAAAAACATATTACTATACATTTAATTGGACACATTGTGACTGTCTTGCACTTTTAACCATGTTACATAAGTCCTGCATCAAAAATATACCAGTTGTTTTTTCTTTTTTTTGTTATCCTGATCCATGCAAGTATCAGAATGATAAAAACGAGGACTTACTTGAGCTCTTTGAAAGGCTCTGCTCGAACATGAGGCGTCTCCACTGATTTTGTGAACACTGCTCCTTCAGCTCCTGTAACACACAGATACAACAGTGTTCATTGAATACAGTTACAATCAAACAAACAAAATCAAGGTTCGGTCAAAGCTGAAAACCTGTGGATCGCGATATATATGGCTACATTAAAGGGACCATAATATGTAGAATGCGCTTTTATTTCACATACTGGTGCACACTAGGGTAGTCTTGCGCAGTTTTTCCAATGTGGTTTTACTGCAAATGGCAAAAAAAAGTCTTGAATCTGGAATACAAATAAATGCTGTCCCCAGAATGGAACCTGCCTGTGACACATGTGTTTTCTAACCACTGCTTACTGATGCAATCCACCTGCTGGACCATTGCTATTGCTATGCACAGTACACCCTCTGTATTACGTATACTATTTTTATTGGTATCTGCTTGGATTCAAACACATGTCTTGTACCTTGGTTGTGAATTTTGGTGAATATATATATATAAAAAACCACAATGGAGCCAAAACCAGCTGCATTTCAACAAACATGCAACACAAATGAGAGCCTCCTTCCTTCTCTCTTATTGGACAATCTGCTTGAAAATTGTAAACATAAAAATTGTGGACATCATGTGACCATCTTTGTTCAGAAAAGGTAATTAATTGTTGGTACATGTTGCCTGTTATCTGGAGACACATAAAATGAATGAATGAATACTTTATTTTGAGCCATGGCAAACAAGAACAAAGAACAAAACAACATGAAATAGAAAAAGAAACAATGTACAATAATAATCATACATTGGAACTGATATGTGTATTTTTTTCACTGAAAGAATTATTATGTAACTATAGAAGTTAAAATTCCACTGTTTTTACATGCTTTTTAAATGCCACTAAGGCCTTTGACCGTGTGAATCACAGAAAAATGTTTAAGAAATTGAGTCAAGCAGCTGTGCCTAAATATCTCATTCGATGTCTTTCTTATTAGTCTTTATAGTTTACTGGTATTTTACTGTTTTTATTAAATTTGTATTGTTTTTACTTTGCGCATATTTAAATGTGTTGATTTTATCTCTGTGCAGCACTTTGGAAACTTGTTTTATAAAATGTGCTATATAAATAAAGTGGATTGGATTGGATTGGATTATTGGTATGCTCATCAGACTATGCAGGTCAAATGGGACAAATGTGTGTCGGAACCATTTCAGACTTGTACTGGTGTGAGACAGGGAAGCCTGTTGTCCAGGCAGCTGAATAAGTGCAAAACTGGCTGTATGGTTGATGGTGCTTTAATTAATCACCTAATGCATGTGGACGACCTGGTGGTGTTTAGCCCGAGTTCAGCCGGTCTCCAGCAGTTGTTAAATGTTTGCTCTGAGTTTGGGGAACTTCAGGGTGTAAAATACAACTCGTCTAAAAGTGTAATCATGATCTGCCGGACTAAAGAGGACAGATCACTGAAGTTTCCTGACTTTATGCTCTCAGGGAACATCTTGAATGTGTGTGATGCCGTCAAGTACCTCGGTCACATCATAACTGACCGTTTGACCGATGATGAAGACATGTATCGTCAGTGTAGGATTGGAAATTCTCCTCCTGCTCTGTACAGGTGAAAGTAGCTCTGTTTGGAGCTCACTGCTCACCTCTGTACACGGCACATCTGTGTACAGAAAAGTCCAGCTCTCAGAAACTTGCAGTTGCTTACAATGTTGCGCTGAGAATGTTCAGATGCCCAGATGGACAAGAGCCAGTGAACTCTTTGTGTCAACTCGAATAAACACTTTGCAAGCCGTCTTGAGAAATTTGATGTTTAAGTTTATATGTCGCTTGAACGATTCAAAAAATGCTGTGATTATTTTATTGTCCAGTGTTTTGTGCAGCGAGGTACGTTACACGTCGCTGCTTTGGAAACATTGGTATGACTGCCTCTTGAAAGTTTAGAGGTTTTTATTGTCTGTTTTTTATTTTATTTTGTGTTTTTTGTCTGTGTTGATCTGGACCTTGAGTCTGCAAATAAAGTAATCTATCTATCTATTTATAATATACAATTATACAGTATAAAACTATTTCATACAGTCTTAACTAACCTAATACACATTTTTGTTCACAAATTGTTCTAAATGCATTTTCAGCACCACTGTTATGTTTCTTCTAAGTTAATACCAAGCATCCGATCAATCTTTATAATTTTATCTGATGTTTCCAATGTCTCTAGCAAAGCAAAATAACTCCAAAATTTAATTCTGGCAGAAATCTTCCCTGAATGTATTTGAAACTTGCGGAGAAACACAAACCCACACATTTTCCTCCACAAATAAGTCGATTTAAGCACAGACGCCCGGGGATGGAGGAGATAAGTGTGCATAATGACTGGAGCAGGTGCATGGCTTGCAATCTTCCTCTCAGAGACTTAATCCAGGACTAAACTTCCCCACTGGCCCTAACCCTCATCTGAACTGTGAGAAATGCTAATGACGTCTGCGAACGAGTACAGTAACGGCTAAATATAACAAGCCAGAAATAAGCACAGAACAAAGAACCCTATCTTTAATTCATGATCAATCTATAGCTTTAGACATGCATATTCTCAAATGTTTTCCTTTGATTAGTAAACACATCAGAGACCAGACATTTATAGGTTTTCAATGATCAAAAATAAAAAAACTAAAGATCTATTCATGAGAGGATGTCTGCCATGGCACCCAACTTTGCAGTATATATAGCCACTTCAAAATGAATTGAAAAAAGTCAGATAAAATCCATTCTTGTTCTGGGATGGCTCTCACTGTTACTGATAAAAGCTTTAAATCTTCCTAGCGCTCTCACTGATAATGAATTTAATTGAAAATGCATGGATTTTCAACTATTTCTGCAATCTGGAGACTGGAGACTGGAGAGACCAAACTTGTAATCTCCAGTGGATTTTATTATATCATAAAATAGGTCTGTTTCATGGTAATTATGAATCTCTATTATTTCCTGTTAAATAAATAATCTGTGATTCATTAGTAACAGTCTGACCTCCAAACACAAATAACACACAATTTGCAAAAATGAACTAAAAGTATTATTTTCTGTTTGCACTTGCAATCTCTCTCTCTCTCTGAGAAGTAAAATTTGCCTCAACTGTGAAACGGAAAAAGAAAAAATGCAATAATTGGTGATTTTATTGTCTTTCAAAACTTCCTGCAGAGACCAGCTTCTTTTCCCAGTTTTACTTACGATAGGAAATGTAGTCTAGACTGTGCAGTAAATGAGTCACCAGAAACAATACAGAGTTCATGTGTTCATTTTTGGGATTTTTCCAAGAAGAATATTCACTGTATAGTCTCAGTCGTTTGGTTTAAGTGTGAAAACAAATTTAGCTGCCTTCGTCTGTGCGTCTTCAGGTTGTTTTATTCATGTTTCGGTTTGTTGAGTTTCGACCTGTGATTTCCTCCCATACCATTACACAACCTTGTGATTTCCACCTTTTGATCTAATTTTTACATTTGATTTAAACGCCGAGACCTTTCACTTCAGTGACAGATTGTCCAGTTTTATGGCATCCAGTTCTAATTCAATAATAACTCATGCAGTCAACATAGTTTAAAAAAGACTTTAGGTTTCTGTGCGTCACGGTTGACATTGGGTCTTTGTTTTATTTTGAAGAGTGTGAAGATGAAATGTCTGAGTGAATAGAATACATTAGAACTTCCAAAGCTCAAAAGAGGAGAAGGAACAAAAGAAGTGCCTTTGGCTTCTGGAGAAGCTTTTAAAGGCTGCGTGTCTCAAGGACTGAACCAATGTCAACTCTTTTATCAAGTCTTCTGTCGAGAGCAGCATTTGTGCTTTTTAAACATTAGGGCATGCTTGTTTGACTTCTCTGCAGACAAATGGACTGAGATTTGCCGGTCACACTTGTTCTATGCTCTTGTTATTGTGGCCAAGCACGGCTCCTTTCAACAGTTTTAAACATGTGAATTAAACACATTGGGTGTTCTATTCACATTTATACTGTTCATTACTGATAATTCACATTAGACCTGGCAAACTGTGGGCTGGGGGCCACATGCGGCTCTATACACATTTATATGCCGCCTTCAGAACCCAGTGATAATTTGTCAAAAACATGAATCTGAAAACCAGTCTACACTACTCGGCCTTCATGGTTAACTAAAAACCCATTATCACTAAAAGGATCATTTGTGCAAAACAATTGTTAAACTAAAGATGTTCTATCTCTTCATTCAAGATGGCACATCTTTTGTTTAATTTTGTCTATCCAAAAAGTATTTTTTATACTGAAAACACAGAAAACAGCAAATATATGTACACATATATCCAAGTGAAAACTTTTCTGGCCATCCACAATATGACGACATCCCAATATGTCACAATTACATCATGTGGATAATTTATTTATCATAACGATCTTAGTTTGTCTTATCAAATGCAAACTCTAGCCATAGAAATTTAAACTAAAACACATTTCGTATATTGCCTAAAAAATAATAACACACTTGTTTAGGCCACTTAATGTAAACCAGCGAGTCACAAAACTAAATCATTCACCCCGTAGCACTCTCGGTTACAAAAACGGTTATGGCATAAGAAGTATGACTTTATGTTTTAATGCATTCACTAATATATGTACCCAAGAACCCAAAGAAGCAAACATGCTATTGCCAAATTCTGTCATAGAACGCTGCTTTCCAAAAATAGCCACGACACATATTTTTGTGTCTGGGTTCTATGGGGTTAAACAAGAGAACGTTAAAGTTTTCTGATGACTTTGAAGACATGGTTCTTGCCAGACCCTTTGTCTACTGTCTACTGTAGGGCCTAATATGAGCATACACAGAAAAGTCTTCATTGAAATATGTCTTTAATATCCTAAACTTTTCACAGTCATTTCAAACTCCCTGATCCCAGCGCTTTCTGCTCCTCCACATTCTGCTGCCTCATGAGTTCCCGCGCCGAGCTGCTTTTGTACCAGCGGCAGTTTGAGCTAGACATTTCATTCTTTCTTTCCACAAAAGTAATAAAAAAAATAAATAGCTGAACTTGCGGCTAA